TGGCGAAAATCCACGAATTACGGTTTGAACTGCTTGACCATCCACCTTACTCACCAGATCTAGCCCCAAGCGACTTCTTTTTGTTCCCTCATCTAAAAATTGCGCTCGGAGGACAGAGATTTTCGTCAAATGAAGAGGCAATCACCTTCGTGAACAATTATTTTGCAGAGAAAAACGCCGAGTACTATTTCGACGGGTTACAGAGATGGGAGCATCGCTGGGAGAAGTGTGTAGATTTACAAGGAGACTATGTTGAAAAATAAAAAACAATTTTCAGAAAAAATGACTTGTATCTTTGTTAGGTCGGAAACTTTTCAGACCACCCTCGTACTATTATCTAATTCTCCGAATGGAAATTCACACTCTATTGTTACATGCGCGGGAGAATTGATTGTGTGAGAACTGTCGTCGTTAAAATTTAAAGTACGCCACACGTTTTGGATAATTGTTTGTTTTGTATTGTCGATTAAACGAGGAAGTTCAAAATTGTCTAACCCGGCGAGTCGTCTTATGGTTCTAGTTGTGGGTTTGCTATGCAATCAAGTATGGTTTTTTATTGGTTTACGGGGAATATTGCTTCCTTCCGACATTCAATACGAGTTTTATGTAACAATGAATTCTTAACTTATATTATTGTCGTGTGATGCATATTGTATTCCGCTGCGTTTGCAGTGTTACTGTTACGCGATCCGTTGCCAGTCGTCGTTTGGTATCAAGGTTGAATCAGCTGGGCTGCTTCTACTCCTTGTACGATGCTCCGCCGTACGATGCTTGGGATAGGTTAGCTCAGTAGGCTGACATATTGTAGGCTCCAGTGTTGCTGACAGCAGGCGTTTGATGATCGTTTTCGACGATCGTCTTCGGTTCTACTGTGGCATCGTCTTTTTTCGATCCTTTAGTCTCCTTGATATACTTCTGATGAGGCGTCGAAATATTTTTCTCGTATTCGTCTCTCAGAGTTTTTCGTAATTCTCAAATTTTGGATTTCCCAATTAGAATCACGGAGGGTTTATAGCTCTCTTTTTTTTCACTCACTTGATCTTTCCCTTCTTCCTTTTTTGTTACAGACTTGACACCGTGGATCCCACCGCTGCCACCAAATTTTGTTGTGCTCTTGGTGGTGCCGAGCACAATGGGTAGTTTTGGGCTCCAGTGCTAGCGTGCAAACAGTACAGGGTGGTCGGGGAGAATAAATAGTCGTGGAATTTTAATAAAGTTTGCGATATAATTTATTTGGTTTCTCTTCTTATAACTCCTTAATAACTATCTTGTTGTATTCATGTTTACACTTGTGTAGTTTTGACTCGTGTTACACTCGTGTTTCGGTTAGCGTATCGCGTTATCGTTATGTTTGACACTCACGTTACTTGCGAGTCGGTTATCTTATATCTGAGATGTGTAACGCGCGCGTTCTTTGACTGAACAGTTCTGCAGAGTAGTTGTGCTACTTTTTTTATATTATTCTTAAAATTAGGGAATTAGATTACCGGCCTAATTACCTAACAGATCAACAGTGTAACCCGATGTTTTATGCAGCGCGTGCACTTTTGATTTGCTTGCCGTATTACGTGGTGTCTGTTTATGCAACGCGTGCATTTTGGCTGAAACGTCTTTTAGCGTTTCATCATGGTTGTCTTACATAACAACTGGAGCTTACTCCTTTAAAGTCGATATTTACCGAAAAGATGAATTCCTATTAAATTTCAAGTTTTATAAATAGAATGTAATTCTATTACGTTCTACACATGTGTATTACATGTGTAGCACGTACATGTATGCAGGAATAGGAACACACGCAAAATATGTCTTACATATATTTATACATGGTGTCAAAGAAATCTATATTCTATCTATGTGATTTTTTTTGTTAATAACTTTTTATTAAATCGCGACGGTTAAAATCTTCAGAAGGTCATTCGGAGGGTAACCTCTATCATATATATGAAGGTCAAGATCATAGCTGCTGGATACGTTTTTCTAAAGATTTTCCTACAGTAAAATATCAAATGCATTTTACAATACATTATTCTTTTGTATCCACGAGTTGTACGAATTGCTAAATCCCAACCATTTCACGTAAACATTGTCACCTTCTCTGTACAACATTTTTTCCTCCACGTATACAGTATGTATATTAGGATTGTTAATATGATGCAGTTCATATTCGTAGAATCCTCCGGCGGCAGGCTGTCCGCGAAAATCCTCGAGCAGAAAAGTTACGGGGTAAGTTGTCTGTACTTTAGCAATAGTGAATACTTCGGTTGCCCAATTCGGCGTGTAACTTTTCTCGAAGACAGTCCTGAATTTGCTAACACGTACATGGTCACCCACTTTGAATTAAGCAGGCGCCGCGATTTTTACGTTGTTGTATACCGTATTCAGGAGTTTATCGACGATCGCGGAAATAACATCGACAGGACGCATTCCGATGGTTCGATGTTTACGTCCGTTGTACTGCGATACGAAATTCGGCAGCGCATCGATCTATTTATAGGTTTCGTTGAGTATAAACATTTTTCACCTTTTATTTTTTAACGTGAGATTGAATCGTTCCACGACGGAGACTTTCATTACCGAAAATAACGTCGAATAATGATTGATGTTATGCTTTTTTACTAGTTTCTGAATATCTACGTTGTAAAACTTTTTTCCTTGATCAGTTTGCAAATTTGTCGGACATCTCTCATCATCTTGAATTATCTTGGCGAACGTTTCAGCTACCTCTTTTCCGCTCTTGCTCTTCAGCGGCACAGTCAACGCGTATTTGGTCAGCACATCGATAATGGTAAGTATGTTGTAACAGCCGAACTCCGCGTGTCAGTCGTTTAATAGATCGCCAGGAATTTCGCTCGTCGGAGTCTGGGTTTGAGAATTGATTGACACAAGCAATTAACAAAAATAAATAACAAAAGTTTACTAAGATCCTTTGATACAGAACAGCAACTGAGAATTCGCGTGTATCGGCGTAAGACGGTCTTCCATCAACATCTTCCTCCGTCCTACCGGTTTTCAAAGCTTGATACTTCTTGCAAATCCATTTATTTATTCTCGCAATCTCCTGCGCTATCTTCTCCTTGATAACCATGCTACTACTCATTATTGATGCGCGCTCTTGTCCTCGTAAACGTTGGAGCGATGTTGGAACCACATTAGAATAATCACGACGTTGGAATAATATTAAAATTAGTATGATGTTAAAACGATGTTAAAACGACGTTGAAACGACGTTTGAACGAAGTAGGTATAATAGACCAGTTCTAACCCAAGGTCTTCCGAGAGGGGTGTGGAGGAGAGGGGTACCGCGGACGCGGGAGTATGACGTCACCGGGGAAGACTTGTGGGCGCGGGAGCATGACGTCACGGGAGGTATGACGTCACGGGAAGTATGACGTCACGGAGAGGGGCGATATACCGATATTACCAACGGTCGGTAATTTATTACCAATACTATCACCAACAAATAATTACATAATTTTTACCAATACATAATTATATAATTTTTACCAACATATTTACATAATACTGATATTACCAACGATCGGTAATTTATTATCGATATTATATACGAACACATAATTACATCATTTTTACCGGCATGTTAACATAATTACGATATTATCAACGGTAGATAATTTATTACCGATATTATATACCGATATATTTACATAATTTTTGCAATCTTCTTTCAATTGATCATTTTATCGATCCGCGGCGGTTTGCGGCGTCGCCCGCACTACCCGCGCTGCCTGCATATCTCGCGGTGTATATTTTTTGGTCGCGGATTCTTTGTAAACTCTAAAAATTTGCAAATACGTATACGTATTAAATATTAAGGACACTAAACGACAACATTTTGCAAACGTATGCATCTTACATTCGACAGTACGATGCACAAAAGAATCTAACACACGATATTTTTATTATTAATGAGTACGTACACTGTGCTCCGCGACAAGATTTTGCAAGCGTTTGCATGTTATGTATCAAGGACACTCGCTGTGTTCCGCAAAAGACCAGATAAAATTTTAAGACACTTTGTAGTGTATCGAGAAATATGGGAAAGGTAGTAAGTAATATGAATAAACAGTAGTTCTTGTGGTTACAATTTATAATTTATATATTTTGAAAGTGTTACATGTACAAATTATTTGTTCAATACTTCATACATAATATCACGCCAATAGCTCGCAATTGATAAGTGAACGCTGTCAAAGTCCCCGCTATTGCGTATCGCTGATATCGCATAATACGTTTCGGTATGATATTCTTCTCTCGAAAAATGTTTACAAAATTTCTACATTTTGTATTAACAATATGTGTTAACAATTTTCTATTAACAATAATTTCATATAACCACGCGTACATATAGTCAATGCAATTCTCGAGAGTAGTAAACAAATGTTTTACTGTAGCTGGTTACAAGTACATGCAGTTACCGGATATTGTGAGTTTTAAAAGTTTTTTGCCATACATCGTGCAGCATTCCACCGTCAAATCGCAAATCTATAGCGGAGAGGAGGACGCCTTTGTTGTTTGCAAAAATTGTAAAATCTCGTCACGCTTTGCCATCAATCCTCCTCAAGTTGCCGAATGTAGAATCAATTGATTGCCATGATTGTCACCAATAACTAGTTGCACAGTAGATACCAGTCCTACGATCCCAATCTCCAAGTACTTAAAAGACGTTGACGTCAAGGCATATCTTCGCCCCAAAATACGGGCTGTGCAACGCAGTTGCGATACACTGTAAAACATAAATAATGTAACACGGTTGCGAGACATAGTTAAAAATAAATAATTTAAATAATCCATAAGAGTACAATTTTGTAAGAAAGTAATTATGTCATATTGAAACGTACCTTTTTTTCTTGTACGGCAAAGCATCATCTTGCACGGATACATAATAATTCATACGTTTTTCTTGAGCACTAATAGCGTGCATTCTTCTCAAAATAATATTTGTTCACTAAACTATTGCAAAACAACTGATGCAACGAACGACCAAGAACCGCTTTAAATACGTTTCAAAATTCCACCCACCAACTTAAATCCCTGAAGCAGTGCATAATAATAATAATAATAATAGTATAAATGAGACTCGTTTAATTTTCATCTATATCTACTTCCACTGCATAAATGAATTTGACCAAATTATTCAACAAATCTCTGATACGGCGTCGTAGATAATCAATCGAATACACGAATGTACGAGGGCTGCTCCGTAAGTTTTGCGACTTGGCAACACTGGCGTTGCTAGGTAAAATCTAACCATCAAAAAGTTTGACAATTTGGAAGATTTTTTTACTCGAAACGTTTTGTCGTATGGAGGCTACTTGTATTGTTTACAGTGACTTGAAAATTGTGTCTCAGCGAAAAAATGGAATTAACACGAGAACACTTTCGTGCGATGATTTTTTACGACTTTCGACATGGATTATCGAGACAAGAGTGCATCAATCAACTTGCTCCCACTTTTGGCAATGAAGCACCACACAAGACCACTATTTGTCGCTGGTTTAATGAATTCAATCGTGGTTGTAGTTCGCTCACTGACGAACCTCGCGAAGGTCGTCCAAAATCAGCTGCTGTGCCAGAAAACATCGATGCTGTGCGTGAATTGATAATGCAAGATCGACATGTGACATACCGTGAGATTCAGACATCCCTGGGTGTTGGTATGAATTGCATAGAAACGATATTGCATGAACATTTGGAAAAAAAATTAGTTCACGTTGGATTCCGCATAATTTGACAATTGTTAAAAAAAAAGGATCGTGTAAATTGGTGCAAAAAAATGCTGAAGAAATTCGATCGAGGTGCGTCAAATGCCGTATATAACCTCTATACAGATGACGAGTCATGGATCTATGCATATGAGCCGGAAACTAAACAGTCGACTGTGTGGGTCTTTCAAAGTGAACCTAACCCAACAAAAGTTGTTCGCGCTCGAAGTACTTCAAAACAAATGGTCGCCTGTTTTTTCGGAAAAACTGGTCATGTAGCAGAAACGTAGAACGGTCAATTCTGAGTGGTACACAACCATTTGTTTGCCAGAAGTCTTCGGCCAAATAAGGAAAAACAACTCAAGACGACGAATCATTCTTCACCATGACAATGCGAATTCTCACACATCGGCTCAAACAACCGTTTATTTGATCAGTGAAAACATCGAACTAATGAGTCATCCACCGTACAATCCT